TACATAGTTTCAAATTGGGTGCCTTCCTTTATTCAGTAAGCCTCAAATGTGCATTTATCTTAGCAATTGCTAGATGTTAAAAACGGTGGCTTTTCTGATGATGTTTGTCTTGGGCTAACTGGGAAAGGGAAGGTTAACAGAAGAGAGGACAATGTAGATTTGCAGAGGAGAAGAAGATGCAAGGATGGAGACCAGAGTAATGGGGTAGATACCAGAAACCAGGGCAGGGCTGGGGGCCCCTCTCCCGGGACCACCTGAAGATGTGCAGCCTTGCTGGCACCTTGGTTTTGTGCTTAGGTCTTGCACTACAAGAAGCCAACATGCTCTTGTTTTAGCCACTTCATTGTTGACAGTTTGTTGTGGCAGCCATAGCAAAGGGTACTGATTTTATATTAGCTTGCAGATTTTATATTAATTTGTTAAGTCTACCATAACAAATGACCCACTTAGCTTAAAACAACAGCAATTTATTTTTCTCACAGATCTGGAGCCCAGAAGTTGAAATGAAGGTGTTGGCAGGGCCATGCTCCCTGGAGACTCTCTGGAAGGATCTATTCCATGGCTCTTTTAGCTTCTGGTGGCATTTGGCATTCCTTGGCTTTCTGGGCATGTGGCCACATGGGTCAGCCACAGCCATCTTGGCCTCTGTCTTCATCTTCTGTCTGCATGTCTTCCCCTCTGTGTGTCCATGATGGAACAGGCTCAAATGAATCAGCCTGCTGTCTGGCTGACCACCCCAGGGGAATGCAGCCATATTGGAGCTTGGATTGATCTCTGATATTGGCAGATTGGACAGGCAGCAGGGGAGGAGGGCAGCCTAGCTGAACAGAAACCCATGTTTCTGAGCTCATCTATACATCTTTACCATGGTGGTCACTTGCCTTGTGTCGTCTTGGACAATGACAGGATTAGGTAGGGGAAGAGGCTAATGGGCACCCATAGAATGGGGCCCTCATACCTTGATTATTGTGTTGGCTAGTTTTGGTTAACTTGACACAATGTCAATAGAAGAATTGCCTCCATCAGATTGGCCTGTGGAGGTATCCATGGAGGCATTTCCCCATTGCTAATTGATGTAAGAGGTCCTAGCCTACTAAGGGCAATGCCATCCCTCGGCAGGTGGGCCTGGGCCCTGTAATAAAGGAAGTGGAGCAAGGGAAAGGGACAGTCAGTAAGCAGCTTCTGCTTCAGGCCCTGACTCCAGGTTCCTGCCTTGAGTGCGTGCCCTGACTTCCCCTAGTTAAGTAAACTTCCTGGGAGTTGTATGTTGAAATAAACCCTCTCCCCTTGGGTTGACTTTGGTCATGGTTTTATCCCAGCAACAGAAACCCAATTAGGACAGAAGCCCATTGCTTACTCTGCTCACTGCTAGTAATCACCACTCTCCTGTGGACCTCTACTGAATTTTTGTGGACTGCTAACTATGTTTGCCACACCTGGACAATTAAAAACTAATTGCTTTTAAACAGCCAAGTAGTAGTCCATAATTTTTTTTTTTTTTTTTTTTTTTTTTTTTTTTTTTTTGCTTTGCTTGGTCTAACTAGTTCTAGTTCTTCATTGCTGGATAAGACTGTTTTGAAAATTTCACTTTAAGTAAATGTACCACAAGACATTTCTACATGTATACACCTTTCCCAGTTTTAGTAACTTATTCATTAACTAGTTAATTTATTGTTCTAGGGATGGAATCCATGACTTCATGAGGCATGCTAGGCAAATGCTTGTTTCATAGTAGGAACTCAACATGAGTTGAATGACAGTGGGAATTTCAATGGAAGTGTATGGAAGATGCTTTGTTATGGCTCTGGATAATAATGGGATGCCTCTACCATACTCCATCCTCCTTATCTCTTGTGCTACTGTGCATTATTCCTGACTGCTTCCTCAGAGCTCCAGTCTTTCCTACTGGTTAAAAACTGAGCCTAGCCTGGTGGCTTATATGGCAGCATGCTTTGGTCAGACAGGAGATGGTCACTTCTGCCTGGAGAATCCTATGAGGTACCTGTGAGTATTGGTAGGGGTTCTGTCATTTGAAGAATTGATAGAGGCCTGAGGATCTGAGGCTGCCACATGGTCAGGCTATGGATGGGAGGTGCTGGTCCCTCCACAGAGAGGCCTCTCCATGGCGACCTGTGAAGGTCTTCAGAACATAGTGCTGCCAGACTCTTCATGAATAAGCAGTCCAGGAGAGCTGGGCAGAGAGTGTCAGCATCATTGTCAGCTTCACTGTGGAGGTTTTTGGTGGGATTGTGTTGATTGCCTTGATTGGCACTGCCCCATGGCACAGGGCCCCATGGCTAGAAGGCAAAACCCCCTGGGGGTTGTGTGGAGACTGGCTGCATCTCCCTTCCATACTTCATCCCAACTGCATGTTTTGTTCATTAGAAACAAATCACAAACTGAACATCTGTTTCTACAGTCCCTACCCAGTTTAGGAAACTATGACAGCTGTTCACCTGGTTTGTTCTTTCCTGGGGACTCAAGGATGTGCTTATCTGTCTCTTTAGTGTGTAAGATTCCTTCAAGTATCCCATTCTTCCCTGGATTCCCAGAGTGAGCACACAGGGATGGATTTTTGCCTGTAGAACTGCTTAGCTCTTGACTCAGTGGGGGTCTTTTAATTCTCATTTTCAAGTTGATTGGTATATATAAGTTACATATATATGTATATATATGTGTACATATATATACATACATACATATGTATTTAATTGTGCATTTCCACACATGTATATATTTTCACTATACGTGCCCCTTTCCATTACCCTCATAATGACTTCTTGCCACTGCTCTGGTCCAGTGCGGGGAAGAGAAGATTTCCTAACTGCTCTGCCAGTGCAGCTGCCTTGGGTGTGGCTTTTGTCGCCCATCCTCAATGTTCTGTTGCTGAAAATACAGTGTGAGTTTTATGAGACTCTCTCCTTGTCTTAAACTGCAATTCAAACCCTGCTCTTGCCCTCAGTAGCCCTGGGAGCATAGCGCACAGTTGGGGCTGAGTACTCTGAACACTTTCATCTTTTCTGCTTTCCTAAATTTTCTTTCTTTTTTGCTAAAGGCTATTGTTTTTCTTCTTGTATCCTTCTATTAGGATAGCTGATGTCCAAGTATCCCTGCCCAAGTGTCCCTGCCCCCTACCCACAATGGGACAGTCTAGCAGTGATAAAATATCCCAACAAAAGCAATGTACAATTCCAGGCTATAGTTCATCAGTGTGGGGAAGGCAAGCCAGAAACTTCAGATAGTCATGTCATACCCACAGTAGTCCAGAACAGAGAGGAATGAATGCATACATGCTTACTTGCTTCTGCTCATCTTGGTTTTTCTACTCATACACAGTTCACGATATTGCCTAGGGAATGGGGCTGCCCACAGTGGGCTGAGCCTTGTCATATCCATTAATTAAGACAGTCCCCCACAGGCATGTACACAGGTCAATTCAATGTACATAACACCCTGTTGAGACTTTCTAGGTGGTTTTAAGTTGACAAAGGTAACCATCATGGGTATCATCTGCCATTCTTGTTCATGAGTTTTAATACTAACCAATTTACAGATATTTACTACACAGTTACTGCCTGGCAGTTTGTTCTAGGTTATTTAGAAACAGTGAAATAAATAGTTCTTGGGGGTTATATACACTGGGTGAATAAATAATATGGAAAGTATTAGGTGATAAGATATGAGACAGGAAACATCAGGGTATATAGAAAACAAATCAAGGTAGGGACTGTGAGTATTGCATTTCATAGGGCCGTCATGATTTCTGTCACATTGGAGTAGAAACCCAAAGGTGTGGCCTCAACAGTGGTTATTGCAGTTAAATAAGGATCAGGATAAACAAATAGGCCGAATAGATGTTTATTCAGGGAGAAATAACTTACAACCTAGACAGATGAACACCAGCAAGTTCCACCGGATGCTCTCCTCTCCGCAACCCGCCAGCAAGAGATCGTACCCCATCTCATCCCCAGGCTCCTCCTCAGACTTCCTTCCACAGGTCACTTCCGCCCCTGGCTCCACCCCAATGGGCGTGGTCAGTGCCACAGAAGGAGACAAAGTGAATATCCCACTACAACTGGTCATATTGAACGTGCAGTTAGGAAGCAGAGAGTTATGTATGCTGCCATGGTTGGCTTTCTTCTTTTTATCTGGTCCATGACCACGGCCCATAGAATGATAACAGACATTTAAGGCAAGTCTTCTTCCTCCCTCCCTCAGTTAACCTGATCTAGATCATCCCTTGAGATGTGCCTGGAGATTTGTTTCCATGGTGATTCTAAATCTCTTCAATGCAGCAATCAAATTAAGCATCACACAGAAGCAAGAGAAGTAGGAATCAGTCTTCTTCTTTTTCTTTTGTCATTTCTAACACCTCAATCATTACAGTTTCTGAGTCAGAGCCGAACTAAGAATTTATGTGGGCTCAGCAAACGTGTAGGCCATCAAAAGTAGATATTACAAACTACCAGAGATCAGTGGTCCTTTAGTAATTTACCAGTTACTAGTGGGAAACTAGATATGAGCAATCCAAGTGGGCTTGGAGACTTTGTGTAGGGCAAACAATGCTGGAATGCCTTTTATTCAGCTCTCCTAACATAACATCTGCTCAATCCCTTTGGAGAGTGCCCCACCCACACAGCCAGAGTATTGAGCTTGGCGGAAGGTGGGATTGAAACACTTAACAGACCACCACGAGAAGTGAAGCAGAAGCTGCTGCCCTTTATTACAGAGAGTACTGGGCTTATATACACAAGCCAGGGGATGGGCTAAGCATAGGAGGAAATCATGCACCACCCATACCTGGAGTCAAGGTACCGGCACTGCATACCAAAAAGTTTTAAGAACAACCTTGTTTGATCAACCTTGAGAGCGCGGGAGTTCTACAGCTGGGTGGGGAGCTGTAAGGGACAAGTACTTAAATTTCCCAACAGAGAGGAGTTTGGTTTCCTGTTGAGTTCCATAATTGAATTTTGAACTTTTATTTTTTCTGGATGGTTTAGATTGGACGACTGATTATTGGGCAGAATGGCATCTTGTCAACACCTGCAGTCTCCTGCATTATCAGGAAGATCAAGGCAGCTGGTGGAATCATCCTCACAGCCAGCCACTGTCCTGGAGGACCAGGGGGAGAGTTTGGAGTGAAGTTTAATGTTGCAAATGGAGGTATGTAGTTCTGACTATGGCTTACCTGATTTATTGCCTCAAATATTATCATACTCTATGATGGTAAGGAGGCAAAGTGGCTCAGAAAAATTCAGTGAGGTGCCCAAGGTGATGTGATCCCAAGGAAGTAACATTTGGTCCCTCAGTTGCTCAGGGCTGATCTTCTCTGTGCTTCAGCTAAGTGGAAGACTAGACAGTTGATACGTAACCGATACAGGAGGACTCTGGGTTTTAAAGTTAAAACATACCCCGAAGGCCATTTAAAATATCTTTCTCATTTTGCGAAGAAACAAATGGAAGCTCCAGGAGACTGAGTTACTTTGGAAGATCACAAGGCTGCTTAGAGACAGACCAATGACTTTTAGCCTAAGTCTCCATCTCAGTGTAGACTTTCTCTCACTACATATGTATAGAGTTATTTCATTTGTTCATAAATTTATACATATGTACAGTCTGGAGCTTTAGTGAGCTATGAGATGAATTTCTTTAAAATAAAAAACAGAATGTATAAAAGAGAAGGGAGAGTGATAAGTGGACTCTAGGCATCCATTACCGCGCTTTTCTCATTTTGGTAAGTAATCATTTGAACCCCTGGGGTACTTTAAGGCGAAATTCAGTTGAAGACTGTACTTAAATATTTTTTTTTGTTTTTTGTTTTTGTTTTTTTTTTTTAAATAAAAGAAAGACACAATCCCACAGAATTATAGTAACATGCTGGGCTACTCTGGGAGCCTGTCTTTGTGGGGTTACCATTGGAATCCAGCCAACTTGCCCACGGTTCTTACCTGAGAGAGGGAGTGTGGATTAAGAAGAGCTAGCTAAAGACATTAAAGTAAAAGACGAAGACACAGGATAGATGTCAGGAGCGCAATTCAGTCCATCCTGGATGTGCCGAGTTTATTTTTCACCATTCTTAAACACCTTAACCAAAAAGGGGAACATGGTATCATGCATATGGAATAAACAGACTTTTCTTGCTCAGTTCTCCAAGGATTCAGTAACCACGCCTTCGATTCAATTTTCTGTTACCTGGCCTTGATGGTCAGGAGTAACCGTACCTCAGACCAGGTCTGTTGTCATTTAGATACGACATCCAAGGCCAAGATCAAACATTCTACTGTAGCCACGTCTTTGACCTTTAGGTCTTATGGCTTACTAAGGACAGTTTTGAACTCTCTGACCTTGAGCCAAGATGGAGTGGAGCCATCTTTATGGGCCCTGACAGGCTACTTGCTTTTCTTGTTGTTATTTCAAATTCCTGGATATGAAGCAACTTGAGGAAAGAGGGTTTGTTTTGGCTCACAGGCTGAGAAAATACAGTCCACTGTGGAAGGGAAGGTGTGCAGGGTGGGAAAGTAAAGTGAGGCTGCTGATATAGGATGGAGAAGTGGGGGGGGGGAGGGAGAAAAAGCTGGTTCAGTTGACCTCTTTCTATTTCCCCTTTTATTCAGTGTGAGGCCTCAGCCCATGGAGCGGTGCCACCCACACCTTCCCTCCTCAATTAAAACCTCTGTAGAAACAGCCTCAAGAGGTGTGTCTCCTAGATAACTCCAAAGCCAGTCAAGTTGACAAAGAAGATTAATCATCACAAATACCTAACAAAAATAACACTAACCCTCTAACATCACATGGAACCAAATCTCTAGTCACCTTCCCCCCCCCAGTGATTATCAAAGTGTTATCTACAGCTATTTCGTTTTAAAAAGAGAGGTGCACCTCAGAACTGTACAGTTACTTACTAAGACTATTCATTCTCTTTTAATCTAGACCATCAAGTATGTTTGCTTATGAGAACATAAGCCGAACTTTAATGAAAACCAGTTATTATTGTGAATTATTCCTGGCCCCAGGCAAAACAGCACAATAGTACATTGTGAAGAAGAATTTATTATTGTTCTTTCTGTAGCTATTTTGCACATTATTAAAAAAATAAACTATTCATAAACAATTCATGTTGAATGTGAAACACACACATACACTAGCCAATTACAAGGAAAAGCTAGAGCACGTCTATACCTGAGTAAGTAATTAAAATTAATTAATTAATTAATACTATAGGAAATCACAAAGCCCCAAAAGTAGTCACAAAAAGTGGAAGACAGTAACAAAGAGCTCATGAGTAATGCTCCAGGATGTAAATGGATTTACATCTTCAACTGAAATACGTAGAGTGGCTGAATGAATACTGAAAAGTGTTGCCTCCTTGCTGCCTATAATTGACTCTTTGAGGCTTTCCAAGCACACATGAATGGAAAGGGAAGAAGGGGCAGGAGGAGATATTTCTGGAAGATACACAGCAAAGGAAATCAAGACTGGCAACACTTAGGTAACACACAACTGCAGTCAAATAAGTATTGCAAGGTAAAAAGAAGGCCATCATATAATGATAAAGGGATCCATTCACTAAGAGGCCATAAGAAGTATTAATCTGCACGTGCTCCATGCTGAGGTTCCTGAACATGTAAAACAAATCTTAATGGATATGAAGGAAGAACTGGGCATCAGGAGAACAATAGCAAGGAACTTCAATATCCCTTTTCCAACAATGGGTAGATCAACAAGACAGGAAAATTTTCAAGAAAATCTGGGATTTGGACTGTACTTTGCACCAAATGAACCTTGCAGGTATGAATAGAATTTGCTCTCTCATAGCACCAGGGTATATGTTCTCCCCAAGGACATGTGGAACTTTGTTTAGGCAGAACACGTTAGACAATAAAATAACAAACTGAAGAATTATATGGACTATTACCTTATGATTGCTAGAATGGCTACTATGATACAGTAAGAGATGAATGTTTGAGAGGATACAGAGAAAGAGAAGCCCAGCACAGCTGGCTAGAACATAGATCGGTACAACCATTAACGAAAACAGTATGGAGGAAAAGTGGAAATTCCTATGAGCAAGCCACGCCTCTTCTGCCTCTAAATACAATGTTGGAGCACTATTTTGCAAAGAAAACTACACTTCCATTTTCTTGGTAGCATTGTCCACAATAGCTAAGATATAGAAAAAACCCAACTATCTGTTAGTAGATATTAGTGGATGAAGAATGTGATACACACACAATGGGATATTATTTCACTTTAGAAAGGGTTGCCATTTGTCACAACATGGATGGACCTGAAGGACATCCTGCCAAGTTAAATAAGTGTGAATTTGCTTACAGGTGGAACCAACTATAGGCAACTATACAGAGATGAATAATAAAACACTTGTCAATGTTGGTGAGAGCATGGGGGAGGGGAAATGGGGAAATAGAGGTCAGAGGTCACAAAGCGACAGACATGTTGGATGAACAACTCTAGGGATATAATGTACAGGATGAGTGTTGTGGATGACTGAATTGAAGTATAGTCATGATTTTGTTCAGTTTTATTTTGCTTGCTTTGCTATAAAAAACTGCTTGTATGATGATAAATAAAAAGTTGATTTGCTCTATCATAGTAACCATTTTATTCCATGTGTGTGTGTCTGTGTGTACACATGTATATGAATGTATATAGAAGCCAGAGATCTACTTTCAGTGTAATTCCTTAGTGTGTGTATATGTGGATGCAAGGAGAGACCAGAGGTCAACCTTTAGGGTCATTCCATATTTTTAGAGACAAGATGTTTTAGTGACCTGGAGCTTGCTAGAATTACTCTTTTTTATAGCAACATTCCTCTCTGAGGAACTTACCAGGGTCCCATAAGAACAACATTAATCTTATCTAATGATGGTACTTCCATTGACTTAACCACTTTTCACTAGGCCAAAGGTCCTGCAACATCAGCACCAACACAGAATACACCAATGTGAACCATTGGTGGGCATTAGTTATAGCCTAGCCAAAGCAATTTACATACCCACTTTGTAGATGACAATGCAGGAGGTTATGCTTTAATGGGAGGGTTTGGGGTGACCTTATACTTAAGTTGAATATTCTTTTACCATTCTAATGTCTAACTAACTTCAAACATGTTCACATGTCTTACCAGTGAAATGAACATTCCTAACGGCATGGGGAGACTCAGTTTCTTCCTCCTTAGAGTGAGTGTATTTTATCATGACATTTGTCTTCTAAAGTTACAGCATCTATCTCTCCTGACCGTGTACTAAACTGATGTTCCTTGAGGACAGAACTTACCTATAGACTTAGTCGGCTTGGGGAAGTAGGGGCATATTTGAAATCAAGTTGCTTTTTAAGTATGTTTTGAGGACAAGGAGACCAATAAAAATGTTGATGTTCAGTTCTCACTCAAAGTTGGTAACCTACTCAGCCCCCTCCATAAGTTATCTGTTGAATTCTTATAGATGTATGTGTATTTTAAAATTCCCTTTAATATGGCAAACCTAAAGACACAATCACAAAACAAGATTTTTCTTTTTAAAAAAGTTTTCCTGAAGGGTAAAAAGTGGTTAAGGAGGGGCTAGGAAGGTAGTCCAATGGTTAAGGACATGCATTGCCCTTCCATAGGATCCAAGTTTGATTCCCAGAACCTACATCGCATGATTCACAATTACCTGTAACTCCAGCTCCAGTAGATCCAACACCCCCAGCCTCTGTGGACACACACACACACACACACACACACACACACACACACACACCATGCATACACAATTAAAAATAATAAGAATAAGTAATTTTAAAACTTTTTTTAAATTGCAAAGTGCAAAGAAAAAAGGTTTTGTCCATTTCTCTCTCTCTGTCCCTGTACATATGTACCTATATGCGTATGTATATGTAGTTATGTGCCTACGTGAAGGCCAGATGTTGACATCAGGTAGCTTCTGCTGTCATTGTTCACCTTGTCTTTTGAGACAAGGTCTCTCTCACTGAAGTAGGAGTTCACTGATTGGCTAGACTAACTGACCAGTGAGCTCCAAGAATACTATTTTCCTACCCCTGTCCCCTAGCACTGAGGTGACAGGCATGAATTGTCATGCCTGGCTTTTTACATTATGTGAATGCTGAGGATCCAAGCTCAGGTCCTCATGGTTTTATGGCAAATCACATTACTCACTCACTGATCCATCTCCCAGGCCCTTCTGTGTGTGTTTGAGAATTTCACTAATCCTATGTAAGGTAACTGTTGATGTAACCAATGAGGCTGTCTTCTGCCTTTTCTGCTACAGTAGGGCTATTGCCATTCCTTTTTATAGACATTGCTTCTTATTCTAAGAAAGTAGCTTTGTTCAATGCAAATGTATTATGAACCATATATAGTATTTAAAATTTTTATAATAGTTGTACTAAAATGCAATGAGAATGTCTAGATAATATAATTTACTTAACATACTATATCCAAATATTTCAATATATAAACATAAAATGTTAATATAACCTGTTACATGGTTGTTTGTGCTAACTTAAACTTTTGATGTGCATTTTATAATTGTAGCAGTTTGTAATTTCAGTTTGACTACTGACATTTCAGGTGCTCAGTAGCTAAATGTGGCGGATGGTCATTGTATTGGATAGTACAGCTCTATGGAGTAGGAAATGAGATGTATCTAGATGCAATTTCTGTTCAGTAGGAAGTTATAACGTAGTCAGCAACTATGAGTCACACTCAAGACTATATAGATGTCTTTTATATTTAAGGCCATTCAGTATACTTATTTATCTAACCCCTAACATTCTCCACGAGCAAACAAAACCTAATGAAGCCTTGGGTGAAGATATATGTTTTTAAATGGAGGAGGAAACCAACTACTGATTTCATACTCAACTCACTTAAAATCTCTCTCTCTGTCACTGTAGCCAACTTGACCTTCTGAGGAAATCTATCACGTATTTTTAGTTATCCCTCATTTTACAACTAGCTATGCTGGAAAGTGTGAACTGGAAAAAAAATAATCACCTGGAAAAGCTCACATATCAATGAGACAGTAGTGAGAAGAAGAGACCATTGTTTAAGAGCAGTGGTTTAAATCTGGAAGCCCTCATTTCTGTCAAATGCACATCCTGTTTGCATGTCATAGCCCAAATAAAGCTAATTACATAACCGGGTCTTCCCAGCAGGTGCAAAACTATTTTTAGAGTATATATATCATTGCTTAGAAGTAGATTAAAACACACATGTGAGTTGTTGGTCTACACAGAGCTGATCGAATATCCTCTACAGTGAATGAATACAACCTGGTCTAATTGAACTGCGGATCTTTGCTCGTTGTGAAGAGGCCAGATGAATCCCTCCTCTCTAGTGCCCAAGGCAGGTAATGTTTCTCTGATTGATATTCTGAAGACTTTAAAATAAACACATTTTGGGTGTCACATTTTAGGTCCTGCACCAGATGTTGTCTCAGACAAAATCTACCAGATCAGCAAAACAATTGAGGAATACGCCATATGTCCTGATCTTCGAATCGACCTATCTCGACTAGGGAGACAAGAATTTGACCTGGAGAACAAGTTCAAACCATTCAGAGGTAACACATAGTTTGAAGAAATCAAAAAAATTCCATGCATGGGGCAGCTTTCCAAGGGGGGTGCATATGGTGGAGTCCAAGTATGCATGAGGTTGCAGCAGCCCTTGTTGGTGATCGGTGGTTTCTGTAGGCAAGGATTTTCATGAGAAATACTGAATTAGTCATCTGAGGAGAGGCTCAAGGTAAGGCTATAATTAAAGTATATGCAGTGCAGAAAGAAACTGGAAGAATCTCTATTTAGATCCTGGCACTTTCAGAAGCCATTATCCAAACTGCATCATTTTCAACATGGGGAAAGGTTTTGGTTGACTCCATGATGACATACATGCAGTATACTGTGGATGACCCAAAATTGCCTTTGAATAATTTCTAAGCAGTTGAGGATACGAGAAAATCTAAGTTAAGAGAGATAAAAGCCAATGGCTTGTTAAACTTCCCATAAGAGGTAGGAGTTTCTTTTCCAGGCCAGAGCCATTCGGTTCTGCTTAACTTTACACATAAAGGTTGACTACCTGCTCTATACCAAGTGCTGTGTCCAGAGATTCTACAAAGGAATTCAGTAATTACGGAGTGTGTTTAGGCAAGTGGTTCAAGAATTGAACTGCCAAGCCTGGCATAGTGGCACACATATAACAACAGAACTTGGGAGATTGAGGAAGCAGGGTGATAAATTGGAAGTCAGCCAGGACTGCGGAGAAAGACCTTGTTTAAAAAAGAAGGAGAAGAAGACGACAACCAGGATGAGTTTGACAAATATTATTGTACAGGGTTGAGTGAATAAACTTTCGAAGAACCAAGAGCACAATTTGTTATTTTATAGATTCATGTCATGAATATGCACCTTATCCATTGTAATCAATTAAAACTTACAGAAGGCATGTAGGTAGCAATAGAACTACCATATCTTATGCTAGTGCCTCTACAAGATTGGGTACAGTTTGTGTCACAATGGTGTCTTAATTTCACAAATAATTAAACTAGATTAAAATGATGAACTATGTTGGGCATGTAATTTAAAAATATTGTTATTAATTCATACAATGTACTTTGATCACATTCATATCCCCACTCCTCATAACTTCTCACAGATTCACCCTGCCAACCTGAGCACATGATTTTTAAAGACAGAGAAAGCTTAAAATAGACTGTGTGATGGTGATAACACTGGGCTACTGATACCAAGTCTTTCTTAAATAGTTTTGGGTTGATCATTTGCTCAGGTAGTGAGAATTTACTGAAAGCTGTGTGATATTCACTAGAAGCAACAGTGACCACCTTTAAAAAAATACAGTATCATTTATTTATTCCTCAGTATTTTCATACATGGAAACAATGTATCTTGATTGTATCACCTATAACCACTCCCCCACACTCCACCCTTTATCCCAACGTATCTGTCCCCTTCTTGTCCTTATGTTCTCTTCTTTTAGGTTTTGTTTTGTTAGTCTCATTTATTTTTAATCCACTAAGTCTAATTGGTGCTCCTCCATTGGAACACAGATTGCTCTTGTTTGATTGATCTTGTGTGGGTAACCATAGTTACAGTGAGCTCCTGGGACTGATTGATCTTGTTTGATTGATCTTGTGTGGGTAACCATAGTTACAGTGAGCTCCTGGGTATACTGGCAATGCCACATATGGAAGACAGTATTAACAATGCTCTTTTCCATCCTCTAGCTCTTATATTCTTTATGTCCCCTCTTCTGTGGTGTTCTCTGTACCTTGAGAGGGGAGAGGATTGATAAAGATGTCTTATTTAGGGCTGAGCACTCAATAATCACTTATTAGCACTTGGACCAGTTATGAGTTCTATATTAACACTAACTTCTCTCCTTGCAGAAGGAGCTTCTGGGGCCAGTAATAAAAGCACCACTAATCTGTGGGTATAAACATAACATAAATATTTGTTTGGTAACATTTCAATTTACCAGGGTAAGAGCAGTAGATTTCCCCCTGGACCTTGTGATCTCTTGGATTATAGGCTTTTGGCCAGGTTTATAGTACAGAAGGCCTCAAATCCAATGCAAAAGCAATTGGTTACCTCTATAACCTTCATGCCGCTATTGCACCAGTGAGAAGTTTCTACTTTTTTCCAAGACAGTGTTTCTGTGAAACAGCCCTGGCCATCCTGGAACTCACTCTGCAGACCAGGCTGGCCTGGAACACACAGAGATCTGCCTGCTTCTGCCTCCCGAGAGCTGGGATTAAATGTGTACACTACCACCTGGCTGAAAAGTGTCTACCTTTATTGATCTAGTTAGAAGTGCACACACACAAAAATGTGCTCATGTGGATTATCTAGGCAACTGCAACTGTGTTATATCTAACAAAATAAACATTTCTGAATATATATGAGTAAAAGGTCTATAAGAGGGATAAGAGCTATGAGGCATTACCATCTGGAAGAAGTCATATGTGTTTTAGTTGTTTTGGGCACATTTATGATTTTAGAGCTTCTGAGAGACTTGAGTCTTTGGGGAACTCATTGCTACACCTACACTGTTCTTCGGGTGACTTCTCTACAATGATGGTGTTAGTCTGGAAGTAGATAGAAGTTTTTCTGGTTCCCCAAAATAACTTGGAGATAATCCTTTGAGGTAATTTATGTGCTATATTCCTGCTGTTTTAAGTGACGAGCAATGCTTGAATTAACTGAAAATAAGTAGTCCCTGGTGCGTCATCTTAAGGTGTCAAGAACATGTATAAGATAATGGGAGTGGTCAATTTTCCTGAATGACTTGCTTCCTTGAACTGTCCCTGGTGAATATCAAATATTTTAGGCAAATGATTCAAGAGCTGAAGAACCAGAATGAAATTTCCAAAAATATCTTATGTTATTAAGTAAGTAAAGCGTCTAAAGCATTCGCAGCATAAAAGCAAGAATTTCAGATGTATAGTTCACAGACAGTGGTTTTTAATTATTTTTCTGAATTAATATTCTCCATATGTCAGAAGATGATTAAGCATAGCCTGTGCTCCTTAAAAAGTAATTAAATTTGAATGGATATTCATATGTCAATTTAAATGTAAGGGGAATATTTTGAGACCGGTATTTGGCCAGGTGAAGGGTAATTTATACAACCTATTAAATATTGTACCTGGATGTACTGAAAATTAGTGATTGATATCTTTAACATAGGCCTAAGTGTTTCAGCTCTGAAGTAGTATGACATTGAAAAGTAATAGATGTATAACTTTAAAAAATTTAATTATAGAGGGCTGAAAAAAAAGTCTTTCCTAGTTAAGAGCACTTACTGCTCCTCCAGAGTACAAAGTTTGATTTCCAGCAGCTCTAGGCAGCTCATAACTTCCCACAACTCCAGCTTCAGGAGATTTAATACCTCTGGCATTTGCAGGCACCTGCACTCATGTGCACATACTTAAATGTGTGTATACACTCACACACTTTCATGTTTGTGCATGCATGCATGTGCACACACACACACACACACACACACACACACACACACACACACAATTAAAGAGATAAAATAGAGGTAACTGCAAATTTAAAAAGACTGCTCTCCTAGACAAGATTTTAGTTCCCCCAACTCAAAAATTTACTTCTAGGAAAAATGCTTTCTAAGCACTGGTTATGTACAGGTAGATGTTTGAAAATGGTGCCATGTTCTGTGTGCTGGTTTTCATAAATTAAATAAAAAGGTTAGTTTGGGATTCTCAGTGACACACTGGAAAGCTTTTGTGCTTACTGGGGAGCTGCAGATGTTAGGCATTACCCTGGAGATTAGGTAGTAGGCTGGGTGTGGAAGAGGGTTTATGTGAAATCAGAATTCAACCCTACATCGCAGTTCTGTGCTTGGATCCAGTGTGTATAGTAGCATTTTTTGGGGGAAAAAAAAGGCCATAGCTGAGGTCACTCCTTTATATGTTTCCCACCAGCTGAGTCATTCTTTGGCTAACCCACAGGAAGGCTTCTGCATACGTGGGATGCTTGTTAGCATTGGTGTGTGTACAGCTGGGGGAGGCAGGTGTGAGCCGGGATGGCAGTGTATTTGTATCCTAAACTCTTCTAGTGGTTAGTTTTGCCTTGCAAGAAGAATGTAGAATATTCTTTGTACCATTATTTATCTGGAGTTGGTCACATTTTGATTGTGCTGTAATTTGAGTTTTTGTTTTCAAATGGACCCTTCCCTGCCCATATAGTGTGCGTGTTAGATGGGATTTTGATCAGAAGTTTGAATTTTTTGTGCTTCTGAAGATGATTTTTGGGTATGCTCATTGACATCCCCCACCTCTGTTTTCCCATCTTCAGTGGAAATTGTGGACCCCGTTGACATCTATCTCAACCTTCTTCGGACCATCTTTGACTTTAATGCTATCAAGAGTTTGCTGACTGGGCCTAGCCAGCTGAAGATCAGAGTTGATGCCATGCATGGAGGTGAGCTTGTGTTTTTCTAAAAGCAGTGGCTGAAAACAGTTAAGGAGATCTCTACATGTTCAGATATATAGAATGTTCTAGAAAATTTCAGGACTCTTGTTACTTTTTTTTTTTTTTTAATGTAAATGAAAACAAAAATTGAACAAGTAAATTTGGGACTGTACCATGTGAGTGTAAAGTAGATCAAGGCTACCTTATTTATTGACTTAAAAAAGTCTTGTTACTTTCTATAATTTAAACAGCTGAATAAAATTATGAAAAACATGAATGCCCAATCCCTTTTGGCAGTCAATGTCCTATTTTCTGGTGTCAACCCTTTTCAACCCCTCTAGTGATTTTTAAGTATTTATTGCCTTTTTATGAATACCACAAGTATATAATTCTTTATTAACTTTTCATTTTTAAGAATATGGGCTTTTCACTGGACTTTTATGGTCAACTCTCCACGCCTTCCAGCAGCTGCTGGCAGAGACTTATCTTTATTTTGCCTTCATTGTTTTGCCTTTTCTAGAAGGTCATATAAACTCAGTAGTCCTTTGCTTCACATTTCATTGAGCATACTATTTTTTCAAAAATGATGATGTTCATGGCATGTGTGTCAGAATCTTCTTGTTCTTTGTTACTGTTGAGTAATAGTTTTCCACTGTGCTGATGTACTACAGTTTATCTATTTGCTAGTTGATAAAATTAGCCTTCCCCATCCCAAGTATTTGGCTACTACAATTAAAGGTGCTATGAATATTCACAAACAAGTCTTTATGGAAATGTATGTTTCCATTTGTTTTGGGTAAATTTCTAGACACAGGATTGTGGAGTCTAATGGTGCACTACATAAGAACTCAGCCGTTGTCCAAAGGAGCTGTCTCTCTGAAAACACATGAGCAATGTTGAGGGCTTCAGTGTCTGCATTCCTACCGGCACTCACTAGTGTTATCCTTTCTGTTTCCACCATTGTGCCCCATCTTCTTCATCTCTTTTAAGGCATTCTCCCTGTGTGAATAGGTTCCTCTTTGCTGTTTGTTTCAGACTCATATTTAGAGTGTTCCTCAAGATCTTGGTGACCTTTAGTTTCCTGGCATGCTGAGCATCTGTTGGGACCTCTGAGTGCACTTGGGTCTCACCTTGCTGGAATTTGGTCTTAGGGTTTGTGGTTGTGTTGTTTTGTTCCCTTTTTCTTGGGCTGGTGCTATTCTCCAGGAAGAGGTCTTCTGAGTTCTTGGCCTGATCTGGCCCAGGGAAAAGACAGCTGAATTTCTGTGTTTGCGGCTTATTGCTTGGCTTGTACTGTATGTCCATCTTCAATTCAGGCACCCTGGTTAAGGATTGGAGGACAAAGTGGCCAGATGTAGGTCACTTCCCTACCCAAGGGGGCAATGTTTTAGCCATACCCTACTTGTGTATGTTGATTTGGAGAAAGATGTGATTTTCCGAAAGAAACCCGATGCTTTCTCTAGAGAAGGGGACATGGGTACTGGGTCACAAGCAAGAGATGCTCATGGTGTGAGAACAGTAATGTGTTGAGAGAAAACACAGGAAAGTGATCTAATGAACATGTCAGCTGACAGGACTGCATGGTGGCTCTATTACAGGCTCTCTTCCTTTGCTTTAATGATTTCCACTTGTGTGGTCCCTTCAAGTTCTACTCAAAATACTGCTTTCTCTGGGAAGTCTCACCTATCAGCATTGTTTTTATAAGTCATGGTGTTCCAATAGACATCTCCCTTTTTGTCTCGCCTTTTTCTCCACTTTTCTCACTATTAGATAAGAGTTCAGGAATGTCAGGAATCTCACCCCCTTTGATCTAATCCTTTCAGTTCTTAACATAGGGGTTCAACATTAGGTCTTCTGGTCCATATAACTGCGATTATTGCATCACATTCATTGTTTTGAAAGAGGCGCTTTATTTTATATGGGATTTGGATGCTTAACTTGTCAATGTTACAACAATTGTGCAAAGAGAATAAGAGAATTACTAGTGCCCGTTAGTGCTTTTGATATACTCAGTTGAAGTGCTTAATACACAAAAACCAGCACGTAATAAATTGTTATTATAGAGTTGATTTCCATAAGGCAGTATTTTAGGAAACCACAAGGAAAAGAATTTCATCTCGCTGAATGATTGACATATCTTACCTGCTTAACAGAGACCCTGATACTTGGTAGATGTTCAAAGAGTAGTAATTGATATTATTATTTTATGTTGTACCTTAAAAAAAATGACGGTATAATTTCTTTTCTTTTCTGGGCTCTTAATTGAGCTGTTTTTGTCTTTTTTCTAACCAGAAGAAAACACCTTTGGAAGAGTATTTTTCAAGTGTTTTTCTGTTCTCATCTATCATTTTTAGTTATGGGACCCTATGTGAGAAAAGTTCTGTGTGATGAACTGGGGGCTCCAGCCAACTCTGCTATCAACTGTGTCCCACTCGAAGACTTTGGAGGGCAGCACCCAGACCCAAACCTGACATATGCAACCACCCTTCTGGAAGCCATGAAAGGGGGAGAGTATGGATTTGGAGCTGCGTTTGATGCTGATGGGGTAAGTGTGAGGATTCCCCCTTTGTGTCCTGCTCCCCATGTGATGGGCGAAGTACTAGAAGCCAGGAAACCTGGAGTACACACACATGGGGCATGCCTCTGCTCTGCTGTTCAGTGCTAGATAGCACCACGAAGCAGCCACTGCTTTCCTTAGTTTCAGATCGATGTATGTTCTTGAGAAATCATTTCTTTAAGAATACAGTCAGACAATCAAATTTCATTTGTGGCTGGCTTTGTTGAAAGCAACACATAAAGGAACTGGCTATTTACCAGCTATTAACAGCTCTCCAGTCTGTGCGGGGGAGGAAGGGGTTGAGTCTGTGGAGGCCACGGATACATGAAGTAGCTGCGCACAAAACCCAACAGGTGGAACACATTGCAGCTGTATCAAGATTCTGGGCCCCTGAAAAATTTATGTCATTTCCCATGGTTCCTTTGCCCTATTCAAATCAGGCTGTTTAAATGGTAGGAAAGTGACTTGTGCTGGTATTGGGAACTGGGTATGAAGACCAGATGCCTCTCCCTGATAATTTTCACACGTTTCTTCTCATAGGACCGTTATATGATCCTTGGCCAAAATGGCTTCTTTGTGAGTCCCTCGGACTCCCTTGCCATCATTGCCGCCAACCTCTCTTGCATTCCGTATTTCCGTCAGATGGGGGTTCGAGGGTTCGGGAGGAGTATGCCAACCAGCATGGCTCTGGACAGGTAAGCAAGGATGTTACTGTGACTCACAGTAGACCTCTGATGCCAAGGTCCTTCTGTTGGTAACTGGCTCTCATTCTCCCTACTCCACTGCAAGCTGGGTGACAGCTTGGAGACTTGAGGATATAGTGTGGTGTAGCAGTGTAGCAGGAGTCAGGTGGCCTGAGCTGGAGTCTTCTTTCTTATTCGATCTCTTGCTTTTCTTATCTGTATTATGGAGATGCTGACAGTACTATCCTTACATACATTGTGGTGAGGTATGAATGAGGTCATGCTTTCTGTCCCTACAGGTACTTGCTTGTTCCAAAAGTCATATAAGTAGAATCCTCTACTACTGGCTTCTTTGTTGTTGGTTTGTTTCATTTAATATTTTTTTGTTCATCAATATGCATTCAATGGGAACATAGTAAATATCTCATAAATATGTCATCTTCCCGAATCCGAGGGTATATGTAAGTAAAAAGAAAAGAGCATGGAGTTTGAGGTCAGATTATATTATGTATAAGACTGTGCTTTTGTTTTCATCAAGTGAATAAAAACACGATGCTACATCACAGGTTGTTGTAAGACTGGAATGATGATGTGCAGAGAGCACCCAACAGGAGGTTCAGTCTGGAGGTCCTTAATAGTGGGGCCTGGGTTTGATAAAATCCAGAGCCTTGGACATGCTAGGGATGCACTCTGCCACTGAGTTTCATTGCTATTCTTGCGCCTGATGCTTTCCAACAGTGTTCAATATTACAGAAGCAGAGCAGATCCTTTGCCGTATCATCCTCCCCCCTTTTTAAATTTGTCCTTATCATTGCATATGTCAGAAGCTCATCTCTCCTTGTTATACAGTATATTATTAATATATGAGAATATCACCATTTGTTTCTCATGGATAGACATCTGGGCTGTCTGCAGCCAGTATCTATTTAAAGGTTTTGTTGTTGACACACTTCAATTAGTCCTGGGTAGATATCTAAGAATAAATGTTGATTTTTAGGATAGTTGTACATCCAAGAAGCTGACAAACTACTTTCTATCTTATGTGTTTTTCAGCAATGTGGGGGTTTGTGGTTGCTTCATATCCTCATCAATATTTGGGGGGTTGGAACACTTTAAACCGTACTATTGTGTGCTAGACAGCATTTTATCATTGTTTAAATTTTTCACCATCCAACAACTGATGATTTTGAATTATTTCTTGTGTTTATCAGCTCCTTATTACCTTCTTTCATTATACATTCATCCAAAAGGTATTTACATGAATATAAAATTGGGTTACTTTGTTTTTTGTTAATGATTTTTGAAGGTTTATTATATTTATTGGATCAGTCTTTTGTCAAACATAGTATTGTCTGTATTTTCCCTCTCTGTATCTTGCCTCTATCCTCTCTCTTTCTCTCCTCCTGTGTGTGTGTGTGTGTGTGTGTGTGTGTGTGTGTGTGCGCGCGCGCACGCATGTGCATGCGTGCATATGAAGGCCAAAAGTCAACCTCACATATCACACTGGTCTAGAAATCATTACATAGGCTAGGGATCCTCAGGTCTCTGCCTTCCTAGGGATCACCCATCTGCCACCATATCCAGCTTTCTAACATGGATTTTGGGCATTAAATTCAAGGCAAGCACTTTCCTGACTGCAATATCTCTACTTTTCATTTTCTGATTAGTGACTTTTGATGGGCAGAGATTCTAAATTTTTATGGAATCCAGTTTACGATTTTTTTTCGTATGCCCCGCTAAGTATTGTTACTATAAATGCTTTTGACTTCTATGAGAAATATTTGTTTACTCCTGTTGTGTGATACTATTCCTGGGAGACAGGAGCAAGCATCTACTCACCCCAGATAAGGAACTGAAGACAGAGCAAATTAAGGATACCACTAAAGTCCAACATGGTGGACCAAGTTTTACTGGAGTTTGGGGGAGGGGTTGCTTCCAGGAGAAGTGCCTCAAAGACAACTGCATCACCAAGAGCTCACCTCAGCATGGGTGACAGCTCATGAAAGCTGGAACTCTGGAACTCACCGCACAGCCTGCAGGCTGCTCAGTAGGTTGGAAAGTGCCCCTTCTAGCTGCTTAGGTGGCTTGAGCTCTCTCCTTGAGTACCTGGTTGATTTGGCTTGGCTGGCCTGAACTTTTCCTTAGGAGCCCAGTTTATCTGAGGGTCTCTTAACAGCCCTTACAGTTTATATATGCGTGGGGAAGAGGGACCTAGTGTATCTGCCCAGTTTCAGGGACTTCCTGAAGCCATTCAGTCGTTTACTTCCTGAATCTTAATGGGATTTCCTCTAAGATGGATGGTTCTGGAAGGAAATGGCTATGTAACACTCTTTAGAACAGAAGGATATTTCCCCTGTCGTTTTTTTTTTTTTTTTTTTTTTTTTTTTGGTGAATAATTGCAGTCATAACATTTATACTTGTGCTTTCAATTTTCAGTTGATTTTAATGTGTGGTGTGAGGTAACAGTTGAAGATCATTTTTTTCAGTTGCTCCAACTCTACTGATTGGAGGAATTTTTCTTTCCACTGAATAGTACTGATTTCTTTGTCAAAAATTGGCTCATCATACATTTATGTGGATCTCCTTGGACTCTTTATCCTATTCCATTTAACTTACTGGTTTTTTACAAAGACATTACACTGAAATCAGGAGGTGAACCACCCAGGCATTTTCGTTCTTTGTCTAGTTAGCCTTTCTCTGTTACTACAGACATTTTAGAATTGGTATGTTAGTTCATGTCAGAGCTGATCCGGACCTTGACAGAGATTCTGTTGAATTTGTGAAGCCATCTGAGGAGGATTAGATTTTACTAATAGTGGCTCTTCCAATTCATGGGTGTATTTGTAAATAGGTTTTCTTCAATTTCTCTTACATATAAACTTAGAATTTTTAGTACAGATGTCTCACAGGTTTTGTTAAATTTATTCCTGTTTCCATATTTTGAGCCCATTGTAAGTGGAGTAGTTTTTTTTTTTTTCTTTTTTAAGAATTTTATTTTTGTTTATGTGTCCACGTACGTCTGTGTGAGTGACTGCCATATGGTGCACTTGCCCAAGGAAAGGACCCTGGGCATTGTGCAGCTTATTTGATATTCCAGGACACTGCTTAAACCCAATTTTATAATTTAGACAGACTTTGCATATATCCTACTTAAACTGGCAATAGTTTTGTGAGGACATTCTGTCCATCATTCCTCTCATCATATTAACAAACTTAAGAGCCTTGTACTGGGTCCCACAGCTAACTGGAAACTGGCAGGATCTGACCCTTTGTCTTCTGAGACAGGTTACTATTGAAGCTTCTCAGGGATTGGGAGAGGCCCCGCCGACACTGTTGAAAACATTGCCCAGTTCTCCAGTGAGGTAGCCAACAGCTTTTCAAGCCATGGCCAGCAGTGGGAAGTTTCATTTTAACAACAGAAACCATTTGTCCTCTTCTCTTGTGGAAATGTCCCAGTATTTCTTGATTTCCCTTCATCCATTTTTCTTATGACAACGTCCGTTCAGTCAGAGGCCAGGGGCCTTGCCTAGAGACTTACAAAGGGCCTGTTCTGATACGTGAGTGACCGTTTAAAAGGATTATTCATGCTTGCTGGTTGGGATTCAGAATTCTGTGGGGCTCTGACCTGCTGATTTGTTTTGGGTATTTGATCTGCTGGGTCGTTCCCCTGTGGATTCTCTTGATGGACACTTTATAAGCTCTTTCTTCCTGGTGAACAAATGCAGCTTCAAAAGTCTGTTTTCTTGTGGTTTTCCAAATTACTTATTATTATTATTATTATTTTAAATGAACAGAACCCTAGGATTGTATCCATAAATACCAGGGTAGCAATTGAATGCTTGAGATATATCTAAAGGCCCACTTAATTCAGAATGGGTGGGTACCTTTGAAGCTGATGAATTATCTAAACTTTCATTATTCACAGATAAAACTGGTGTTTCCCCAAAAGAGACTTTCATTCTCTTTAATTTCTATTCTCAGAGTGTCACTAAAACAAAGGTTGCATTTATCCCCGGATAATAAAGTTTCTGCCTTTGAAAATGGCATTCTTTGGGGACTCTGTCATCTGAATGTGACTGATTTGTAGCACACATGAGCTGCGTTGTTGAAAACATTCTGGTACAGATGATTTGGGAAGCAATGCACATTCAAAGTATATTTGTGGCCCAAGGTCTGTCTCCACCCACATGGAGGTATTAAATAACCCTTGGTGTCATCATTGTTCAGTAATATTTATGAAGCTCCCATCTGTGCTTGGGGCTGTGCCGAATGCCGTACAAAGCAAGTCAAACATGCAGCCTCAAGCTCTACTCACTAGAGTGGAACTCTCCTTGGAGGCATCTAAAGGACCCAGCTATGAGAAGTATGCTTTGACTACAAACAAGGCCACAAAATCTGTATGTGTAAACAGGATAGTGACACATTAGTGACCTTCAACCTTTACTTTTGGTGCCACCTGTGTATTTAGTATTTATTCACTAGAAAATATTTTCTAAGCACTTTCTATGCCCTAGACATGGTCCCCTGCTATGGCAGAACTCACTATCTGATAGGAAATAACATGTAAAGAAGAAATATAGACACACAAATTGTAATTTAAGGTATGGGGATGTGAACTTGGGACAGTAAAACTTGGTGAGGAGGGGGCATCTTTCTTAGAAAGGGTAATTACAGAAAGACCCTCTAGGAGGTCACAGATAGGTCAGGGGCCATCAGAAACATGCAAGCTGGGCCCGACTGGGAGACTGGGATGAGAAGGCCCATATAACACATATGAAAACACTTACCCCAGAATCTGTGGTTTGCAGTGGTTTGCTGCCAATCCTCAGTCTAAAATACGGACTGTAGCTTATCTTGATCATGCTCAGCTGGTTCCTGGAATTCAGACAGTGTTAATCCTGCAAGTATGCAAGTTTCTACTGATGTATGGTGACCTTGACCCTTGCCACATCCACAGCTCTGTGCTGTTTCATCTCCTGCATCAGGCATGATGTATAATGTGAGTTAATGGC